ACTCGGAGAAAGTTTGAAATGTAGGCAGGATCGGTGTGGCACCCTCAAGGTGATCATACTCTGAAGAGTGACTGATGTTCTTAGTTTCCCGAGATAAGCACTCACGAGGAAAAACGCCATCATTTCCTAAAATAACAATGCACCCGTTTCCGGGCTTGGGGATTTATCCGCCCTTTCATCGTCTCCAAAAGTGATCGCTTCATTCCGCCTGCACCAACGATGACAACGCATTTACTGATATCACCGCCCATCTAACCGTCCATTTGAACTGGAAAGCTCAACAAACAGATCACCAAACACGTGATCACCTAATCGGTAAGCGCATCCGATCTGTCAATACTTTGATACATTACGAGCATCTCCGTTTCGCTTCGATCATCATCATCAGCAGCAGCAGCTCGAATCATAAAATATTTATACAGGTAGAGTAGAATAACAACGATTGGTTTATTGTTGTGATATTAGTTCGCCCTCTCGGGTACGCAGATTGATGTCACGCAGCTTTCTAGCCTTCGGGAATATGATTACTACTGGTGGCCATGCCCTGATTTCCTACCATGTGTGCATGTGGAGTAACAATTAACTCACAGGTATGGTGGTGCGTGTGACGGCCTGATATTCAACCAAGTGTACTGGTGTTTCTGACAGTGGTACATGATGATGACAGAAAAGATAGGTAGAGATCAAAGCGACACCGAAAGAATTCAAATAACCAGTCCAACTGAGGAGTTGGTTGCTTTGTAGGTGACCCGTGGGTGCTTGAGGATGGGAGCTGAAATACAGGATTACTAATAAACGTTTGCTTTAGAATCGGCCAGTCCATACGTTAGATTGTACTGAATCAGTGAGTACCGAGATACCATACCATCTATAGATTCTAACTAACACTGGTGTTTAGAGGTGATTGGTGTCCCTTGGATGAGTGGTTAGGAAGCGTCTCAACAAAATGATGACGTCTACCATTTCGACTGCCACACATCAAAACTCATCTTTTATCCTGGAGTTCTATCACCTGGCGAGACTAGTGTTCCCCTTTTGAGTCCGAGATGTTGAGTAGTGAATGAAAGTTTGGAAGCCGGTACACGCGATATGTTCCGCGATTCCCCAAAAACCCCAAGATGGTCCACATCTTTGCACGTTATTAAACTGTATTCAATTTAATTAATCACAGATGTGGTGTTAATGTGCATAAAATACTCAGTGGTTGTAAGGAACGGTGGCTGTGAAACATCCCTCTCCCGATATACTAGTATGGAACCAAAATACCCACCCGACCGTGCGCTGGTGATGTCATCTCGAATGTTTGCAAGCTAATTACCAAGCTCGGCACAAACATCGACGGCAACTTAATCAACCACCAATACGCGCAGAAGAACACACGAAGATACCACGCTGGTCTGCATAAAATGGGTGCGAATTAGGTCATTTCCTATCTCACACATGGATGCATTTGTGCAGAAAGCAGCATGGGAAGGAATATTTATAGCTGCATTGTTGAAAAGTGACCATTAATTGCGTCAACGCAGTTTTATCCTAGTAGAATTGGACATCCAGGTCAACAGGACACCTGGTCGGCTCATTTGGAAGTCCAGTCGTAAGCGACAAAGGGGGATGTGTGGGTAGATTAGGTGAACAATTACGCATCTGATTGGTCAGTGACGTGGTAGAATCGGTCCACGTATCGACCGACTTGAAACATCGGTGCACTTTCAATTACTGCTTAGAGAACAGATGACACCAAAAATTAGGAAAGTATACCCGGGTACAACTTGGTGGTCGGGTAACAAACCTAGTCTCGACAAAACTGATCACCCAACGCGCTTGTAAGTGGGATGGTTAGAGAGGCACAACACACAACATGCACCCAAACACTTGATCCACATGTAGAACAACAAACTTGGTCCGGGATCAGACCAAGTTTGGCAACACTGAACACAACCGATAGTTGTCCAAAAGCAAGGCATTTAATTGGTTACAACACTTGTTCTTAATTCGAACCTACGCAGGGAGAAACAAGTGAATTCCTCCAAGGGAGAATGAAACGTGTGGACAAATTTAGAACAAGTGGCACACATACTTTTCTTTCCCAACAGTAAACTTCAGTCTTGGTTCATCCGACCAGCATGTGAATGTTTGAACGTGGTTTATCCGTATTCTACGTGATGCGTATTGCCCTGAATGCTTTACTCTCACAATAGTCACTCACACAAGAGGTAGCGTGCGAAAATTGTTTTTACCTCTTCTGGCAGGTGAATCTATCGGAGCAACTCTCGACTTCAGGTTACCTATTCAGGGGTCTGTTATATGCACGGTTTCTCGGATAATGAAACAAAACCTTGGATATATGAATTAACCGTGAAGGCTTCTTGTACAATTCAAACAAACCCAGCAAACCCCGCTTGGGATCGCAGGTTCAGGTGCTGGCGATAGTTCCCGAGTGTGGTACTCGATTCCTCGTATGTTATCTTATTAGCAGAGAGAGAAATCAATGGTAGATACTACTCATGACAGCAGCGGTTATTTCATTACCAAGTGTTTTCACTGCTTACTAGATTGGAGAAAGTTCACAACGCAGTTTGGATAGATTGTCGTCGTTTCGTTCTGGAAGCTGTTTGATTTGGCCGCCAACGCTAAATGATGTGAAATTATCAGTGGGTCGTGAAGTAACATCACTGGAGGCTCACTAGGTGGCAAGATTAACTCAACAATCGACGGAGCAAATGTAAAGGGAGGCATAAACGTATGCACAACAAGAACGAATGTATAGAGAAGCCAACAGAAAAAACGGGCTTTATGGTGAAGCACTAATCCAGAAGGAGAATCGGGTATATCCGTTTGGGTTCAGGCTTTCAAGCGTCTCAAAAAATTACGTGACTGATTCCTGTACGTACATCTGATGAGCCCTAATACAGGTCTCAAACAACTGAGCTCTGTAGGGATAGACCAGACAGGATAGCCGTCTAATTAGCACCAGGTAAACTTTGTACGGTAAGCCCCCGAAAAGATGAAAACATGAGCAGTGAGGTGTTTGGTCCTGTCAGGAGGGCGAATCGTCCCCTTTGAGGGTTTTTGATAGGATTACTCCATACCCAAACATGTACGTCATTATGATTTTGAATAATATACTCTCGCACTTGAAGATTTAGACAAACAAGAATGGGCTTCATCGTATTTTTCGAGAACTCATTATATCCAAAGCGATCTTACCTCGGTCACCTGTCACTTTCAAGAATTAGCTTGGATAAGCACTTTATCCAGTGACCCAGTATACTCTAAGCGCCTATCATTGTCCCACAGGAGGTGATTTTGAAAGACAGATTACCATGACACATCTTACGGGGCATCACCTAAGTTGACCAAGGCTGGTCACTTTTTTCACGATCAAAGGGAGCGCGGATTCCCTTAAAAGGTCATTTTCAACAGGATGACTGCGGAAAGCAGGGACTTACGCGATATAGTACAAAACCAATGGAAGCAAGTCGAGGTGCCCGGTGTCGTAAACGGCGCCGATCAGCCTGCATGAGAGCAATCACTACGGCTGCAAGTCCATCCGGATCGTTTGGATCAGCCGAACCGATAATAAGACGAAACTGCGGGTTCGCCCAATGACTCGTTCTGATGTAAGGACGACCGCCGCACGAGACACCTCGTAACCAGCGTCCACGCAAATGGGCAGCGGGAAAAGTTGGCATCGTTTGGATCGGAATGGGTGAGGAGGGGGTGGGTGGAGCAGGCTCGGTGAGATGGCAGATATCCAAGTAATCGAAGTTCGCAATGAAATCCTCGAGAGACATCCTGTGGAGAAAGCAACAAAGGTCAAGTGGGATTAGATCGAAGAGAGCGATGGACGGGATGAAATGGGACACACACTTACCAAAACTCATCGTCTGATTTTACGAGTCCAACTTTGAGCCTGTCCTGTGCCGGAAGACTGAGCCATTCGTTCGAGCCCTCAGACCATGCACCTGTCCAGCCGACCCGAACAGAAGGCCACAAGTTGCGTAAACGAACCAAACGTACGAGACGACTTCCAGTGGCATCGGTGAGGCGAAGTTTACGACAGTCGGTCAGACCAAATGCCTGGCCAGGAACAAAGCCGACTGGAATCACAAAACCAGGACCCGGAATACCTTTCGTCTATAAACAGAATTCAGGAAAGAGGGATGTAGCCGGTGGATGCTGGCGGCGANNNNCAAATGCCTGGCCAGGAACAAAGCCGACTGGAATCACAAAACCAGGACCCGGAATACCTTTCGTCTATAAACAAAATTCAGGAAAGAGTGATGTAGCCGGTGTATGCTGGCGGCGAAAATTCAATATACCGCCGTTTCCATGGCAACTGTTGGTAAAAGTCCAACTGACCATAATACTGTGCAAAACAATTTATCACTGGGGACAGGTAAATAAAATCATATCTTTAGTCTGGAAAAATGATTCCCATTTGGCAGCTAAAAAACAACCCAAACGTATGCCCCAACGCAATCAACACCGCATCTCTCAGGCCATTTATACTGTGCATTTCCAGAAAAGCAAATCCATGCTTATCTACACTCGTTTCAACATGGGAGCATTTATTGACAGTGAAAACAACCCGACAGCCCGGTGGACTCGCCAGACTTTAGATTTGTGAGGCGACCAGCGACTTAACCGAGTGAAATATGTCATTTGGTTCAAGGAACCCTGAAATCAGGGTTGGGCTGCATCCCAAGAGAGACTGGTGAAGTTGAGTTATGCGGTTGACATTGCCCCGTTAGTCGATGGTCATCAGGCCGGCCAACCTACGACAAGTGAGGTCTTCGAAGTGGTGCCTCATTTCAGAAGGCATTTCACAAGCACAAAGTTTAGAATATTACGTCAGAATTTTTGATCTTCTTGTACCCTAGTGAATCCCCGAAGAGGATCTCAGGGTCGCTCATGTTATATTGCTCTGGGCGATCGCATCAAGTGAAGTCAGCTCGGCAGCTCTATTTGCCGAGTTGTATCACTTGTGGCATTGAAAAATGAATTCGCTGGAGGCGGAAGGTAAGGTACACAAGACAACCGCAAGGGTTTCGGAACTTCGTTCTTTCGACTTTTCGATCAAACGTTATAATTTCGGTGCATTTGGAGCAAAGTAGTTGTTAGCCAGCTGCAGCATGTCCGCAACGAAATGCTGCGCAAGCGAGTTTTGTTTTATAAGGCGAGGATAAAAACTACACACGCTTCTGCTGATCAAGTTATGCATAACTTTCAACTTTAAAATCTAGTGGTCGTGTGTGATGCGCGATGGCATAGCACCGCGGTGTACAAGCACTTACAATCAATGAGTGTTGTGGAACCTTCGGGTTGCTGGAAATCTTGTAGTGTGACTGACCACAGTAGCTGTCACTTAATTGCCGTACAATCCGATGAATCTGTCCATTCTTGCATGTCCGGGTCGTGCCAGGAGAGGTTCGAAAAGGATGCCGGGTTTAGTCTGTTGGTCACATCTATCCACACAGTTTAACGATGAAAACAGGAGCTGAGGTGCTCGTCAAGTAGAAGGTTGGAAGTTGGACTCAATGACTTGCAACTTGGTGAATAGTGTATTACAGTGTATAACAGGGCACTTTCAGCTGATCCGTTGAGCTGGACAGTTACTATGTTGGTTAGTATTTTTACTCCTTACTCAGGTACTTCGTTCAGTTACCGTACTTTGTTTAGCTCACCATAAATGCTTGCGTTTTGCACTCTATGGAATAGTGTTCTGACTATGCCATGTCTGAAAGCCTCAGATGTAAGAACTTGAAAATTGTGTATTTTAACCAGCCCCACTTTTTCTGTGATAGGTAGTGCGTCTTTTAAGCAGTGCGCCTTAAACAGCTGATCTCAGCTAATGTTCGCGTGCTTCAGATAAGTTAACGTGATCACCATCAAGGAGCTCAGGAAATGAACTGAACTGTTAATTATAGTTTGAAATGCAAATGATACTAACATGGCGGCGATTCCAATATTATTGAACAGTTGATATTCCTCCTGACCACAGGCCACTCATCCAAACTTGACCAGGCACCTGGAGTTTTGTGGATTTCAGTGAAGCATCGCCATGCATACACAGTACATTCATTCAACTTGACAGTGATATTTGGATAGCTAGCCTTTCTTGAATATAATTAAATGTATTTTCCATTGTGGGTACGATGCCCCCACATTGCGTAGCAGATTGACGAATGTGAACGAGGTACTGACATTTCGTTAAAGTTGTCCTCTCACAATATTGGTCAGGAGGAATGTGGAGCTACCAATTTCGGTTTGTTTCAAAGCTGATGGACGGTGCAGACACCTTGTTTCCCACGGTCTTTAATGAAGATGTAGGACAGTTCTGAAACTAGATCCCCAACATCCCTCTTCCTCTGCATGTCTTATATTAGGGCTAGTATTCAGTATATCCTACGGATTCAATGCCACCGATGATGATCAGGCTACCCGGTTGAATTCACATATCCTCTTAATCGAGCAGGCATACGCTTGTGTACCATCTTTTATTGTAATTTAGCACGCATTCTGGATACAAACTTATCCTGATACCAGTAAAATATTTGGACATCATTCAGAGCGTGTTAGAGTTTCAGAGTTTGTTCAAATTAAAACAAGCAAGCGATTGAGGTTCACAAACAAAACGGTACATGCGCAAAAGATCAACAGAAGTAGAATGATATGACCCAAATCTTAGGCAGTACCAATCTAACCGGAGCGCATCGGGCGCAGTGCGGTTGAGTCGTCAAGGGTGTAGCAATTTCGCGGGGCTCCTTGGCCGCACTATGCTCTTAGCTGCAAAACCTTTGCAAGCGGAATGAAATCTTGTATGTCAAAATGTTGCATTTTGTTGCCTATGTGCCCAAACCAAAAACCATCGTAATCTACATACTCGAGGAAAAATTCTGGTGGGATGCTTTCCTTATTATGTGGGGCTCAAAAGTTTAGACTGGTACTCTGAACTCAACCGCTTGTCTTTTCAATTCATCAGTGACGCGTCGTAGCTTTCGAAAATCCGATTCTACTAGCGAATACTGAACGCCAGATTTCGCTATTAGATATGTGCACTAGAACAAATTCATCGGTGGTTTTGGCCCAACTACGAACAAATCTCGAAACAGTCTATGAAACTTTCCTTATTCAGACCGTTTTTGATATCCACATGTCTTCCAGTTTCCGTTTGCTTTTTGGAATACGGCAGTTCACGTGCCCTGAGTAAAAAGGTAAAATGCTTGTTCTGCTAACCTATACGTTGGTTAAAGAAACAATAAATTTTGGGGAATAGCAAAAAATACTAATACATGATGAATAGAATGAAAATACCAAGAGGTTTTCTGGCTTCAAGTAATGCTTCACGAAAGAAACCGTGCTGCAGTTGTATGTGAACAAACTTCTTACAAAATCAGTCACTCAGTTTAACAGCTATAAACCTTAGACACATTGGTTCAAGCTGCTACAGTTTCGATCAACGGAAAAACGAACAGTGTGGAACATACAACCTAGCCTTAGAAGCAACGACATGATCACTGAGTTCGAGGATTGGGTAGCTACCTATTGAACGTGATAGCTTTGATGGACGAGTGCTACTGACTGCGTGATTGCGCCACTTCTGCCAGTGTCATTAAGCATAGGCGAAGTGAGTCCCGGGATCCCCATCCGGGGAAGCGACAGTTGCCGTCACAGAAGCTCCAAGGCAGGCTAATTGGATTTATTGAAGCGTAAAACTAACCTTGATCCTGGCAGTGATAAGCGACCTTCTGTCGAAAGATTTGATTAGGATATCATCTAAATCCGGTGGAGGTAGGATTCCTTGCTCTTCGGCTGCTGGAAGCGTGTAGGATTCGGTAAGACCGCCGGTCAAATCATCCATTGCATCACCAACGAGACCAACGTTCAACGCTTCGTAGGATCCGTTCAGTCTGGGTGAGAGGGAAATGAGTAAATAAAATCTGTAATAATTCTCATCACCCTACAAAACAGTTAACATTTCAAACTTTAACATTTGTGGTTAATCATGGAAATTGTGAAAATGACCACAACATCCATGTGGCAAAACTGATGCTAATCTGTATGGGCTATTTGTGTGTGTGTGTGTGTGTGTGTGCGAATGTTGACAGGTTGCGAACATAATGTAACCCAAATTTGAAGATTCTGCTTGGATTGAACGATAACACTGGATCCAAGGTTCTACCCTGATGACATGGAGGGGATAGGGCGTGTTCCAGTGTGGCCAGAGAATTCACCCATCGGGGCCCATACGAGTGACGCTCAAACCATTGTTGATTGGGAAGCATGTGAAAATCGCTGGTCAAAACAAATCAGCATTCTTCGAAAACGCTTCAAAAGTAGACAAGTCGTTTATCATGTTACATCGCCTTTGGCGTCAAAAAGGCATTTCACGGAGTCTTAGGTGTCGTGTATACCAGGCTGCATTATTGTTGTATCATTGTGAGATATGGCCTCCTCGGACAGATGATCTGAGTGTTGCCCTCCGTGCCTCCTTCCAAACAGTGCAAAGTGGACATGGCAGGATAGCGTGAAAGAGTTTACAAAAAGTTTGGGCATTCTTGCTGTGATTCGCCTTCCATAGCCACAGTACCGCCTCCCTTGTGCTTGACTGCACGAAATGGCGGCCAGTCGATTTCAGTGACTGTCAGCTCTCACGTTCTTTCCAGGTTGTCTGATTGAGCGCTTGAACATATAGGAACATCACATGTTCGTGGTAAGCTAACACCAGGTCCCTCTGTCCCGTTTTTCGCTTAAAAGCTCTACATATAATTGAACGAAACTTTGTAGATGTTCGGCAGTGGAGCATCAGCGTCAACAGTGACGTCTCTTATGATGATGATGATGAGACATAAAGGACCTGATGACACAATGACACGTACCTATTTGTGTTTCTGACGGGTCCATTTCCCAAGCTCTGTTTTATTACGAACCGTAAAAAGTTTGCAAAACAGGGAATACACCTCGAGTAGTGTGAACCTAAGCTGCGTGACAGTCCATCCATGCACCCATTAGTCCCGTAGACTGTCTGATCATCAGGAAGGGGAAAGTACTTGATGGTTTATGCAACATAACACGACCCGTTGGATCACTGTCACTGAGTGCGTTGTCGATACCGATTCGGGAGGGAAAGTTAATTGTGACTTTATGGCACTAATCGGGTGAATTAAGTGTCAGCCAATAGGATCTAATCTGTCCCGGGGTTCACATGATCCATGTGTGACGAGATACTGTATAAAAAACAGCTGTAGACGATTGAACAGAGCCATAAGGTCTCCACGTAATCACTGGAGATACTCGTGTAAGTCTCAATAAGCATAAAGGCAAAGAACTAAATTATCATTGTTCTGAACATGATCTTTAAACATTTGGCTTTTTGTGACGACCGTCTAGGTTTTTCGTTACCAATAGCCACGGAATTTATCACCGAGAAACAGGGGGCTAAGTCTTTTTTAAACAGGCTTGCAAGCTGTGATGGCTTTGTTATGCTAACTCAAAGATTTGGTGGCTATCCCAATGACGCTAGCTTTAAGCCTCATAGAATCGCACCACAACCACTTAGGTGTCTCGCCAATGGTGATCGGTCGATGTAATCTATTAGACGAAGTTGAAAAACAAAATAGGTATATCTAGGTTCGAATGGCGCAAAATGACGGAACTGAAACAAAACCCAAAATCCTGGTTGCACAAAAAATTTCTTGTTTTCTCAATCCGGTCGCATTAGTTTAATCGATCTTCATGTATTAAAACTAGGCCGTAACGATCATCGGAATGTGCATGTTCGCTTCAACGTGGAAGTAACCCGTTTTTTGTCCTGTCTGCATTGAACTCAGGTGTCCTGCCATACCGTAGCTTGTTTTCAGGTCACCCGTACACCATAACGACCGACTACTGGTTACAACGCTATTTAATCCTATCGAGATTTCTCCAGTAGTCATAAGGTGTCAGCGGATGAACCTAATTGAGTATGCAAGTGAGTGAGCGTCGCATGGAAACACAAGGTGTGTTGAAAAGATGCTAAT